GTGTTTAAACATTCTTTATTAAAGAAGAAAGACATGGGAATTTAGACCATTTTCTTGGAGAACAAAAAATTGATCAGAGAGAATGAATGGACCAGGGAGAAACAAAGGATCTTATAAATGATTATTTTAGGAATCTGAATGAATCTGAGAAGCAAAAATTATATTGAGGAAAAAACCATCCTCCAAAAGTGGTTGAATATTTTATGCACGCAGTTAACGAGGTAACAGGAAAGCAATACAGAGCAACTGTTTTTATTTGGTAAGAAGCTTTACCTGTTACATAGGACATTTTATTTATTTTATGTATTTATTTTTGAGAGTCTCAAGTTGTTGCCCTGGGTAGAGTGCCGTGGAGTCATACTTCACAGTAACCTGAAAATCCTGGGCTTAAGCGATTCTCTTGCCTCAGCCTCCCAAGTAGCTGGGACTACAGGGGCCTGACACAATGCCTGGGTAATTTTAGAAATGAAGTCTCACTCTGGCACAGGCTGGTTTTGAACCTGTGAGCTCAGGCAATCCACAGCTTGGCCTCCTGCATGCTGAGATTACAGGCCAAGCCGGGATAGCCTCAGTTTTTCGACTTTTTTGCAGTTTTTGGCTGGGGCTGGGTTTGAACCCGCCACCCCTGGCATATGGGGCCAGCTCCCTACTCCTTTGAGCCACAAGCACCGCCCCAGTTTTTATCTAATTTTAATAGAGACTGAGTCTGGCTGGGCACTGTGGTTTAGGCCTGTAATCCTAGCACTCTGGCAGGCCGAGGATGGTGGATAGCTTGAGCTCACGAGTTTGACACCAGTCTGACCAAAAAGCAAGACCCCATCTCTACTAAAAATTAGAAAAACTAAGTTAAGAGGATTGCTTGAGCCCAAGAGTTTGAGGTTGTTGTGAGCTACGAGGTCATGGCTCTCTACCCAGGGTGACAGCTTGAGACTGTGCCTAAAAAAAAGAAAAAATAGAGACTGGGGCTTGCTCTTCCTTATGCTGGTCTCAAACCTATGTGCTCAGGCAATCCACCTGCCTCAGCCTCCCAAGAATTAGGATTACAGGCCTGATTCACCATACCTGGCCCTAAGCTACAATTTTTTTAAGAATTACTTTTTGCTCCCCAACATCAATTTAGCAGGAACCAATTTGAGTTTAACCAATCCAAACTAACAATTCTCCTCTGACTACATGAGGATTTTTGAGCCCAGGAGTTTGAACTTGCTATGAGCTATGACGCTAGAGCACTCTAAGGAGAGCAACAAAGTGAGACTATGTCTCGAAAAAAAAGCTTAAAAAGCCTAAGGTTAGGCAGATGTCTGTAATCCCAGCTACTCCCAAGGCTTTGACAAGAGAATTGCTGAGCCTACGAGTCTGAAGTTTCTGTGAGTTATGGCACCGTGGCACTCTGGGTGGGGGTAGGGATGGGAGGACAAAGTGAGATTCCCTTTCAAAAAAGAAAAAAAGAAGTTAAAGTAGAAGGAGCCCTGGGATGTGCCTGCCCCCCCCACCCTGTGCTAATGTCCTACCCTGGTACAAGCCCAGACCAGCCATTACCTGCCACTTATCTTTTTTTTTGACACAGAGTCCCAGTATGTCACCCTTGGTAGAGTCCTCTGGTGTCACAGCTCACAGCAACCTCCAACTCTTGGGCTTAAGGGATTCTCTTGCCTCAACCTCCAAAGTAGGTGGGACCACAGGCACCCACCACCATACCCCGCTATTTTTTTGTTTCAGGTCTCGTTGTTTAGGAAGCCTCGCCATTGTTCTTTGAAGCTGCCAGCCTCAGTATACAGGGCCGGTGCCCTACCTACTGAGCTACAGGCACCACCGATCTGCCACTTGTCCTGGGCTCCACATCTCTGCTTACCCAGCTCAGCCCCAAGGTCTCTTCTCCTTGGTGCAGGCCAGAGGTAGAGAAGAGGCTGGTGCTGTGCTCACTTGTGTTCAATTTGGAGACTCAAATTGGAAGGTTGGATTAATTAGTGGGGGTCAATAATCTCTGGAGGTTGTGGATGTACTTATCAGACTTTGTGTACCTCTCAGAAACCTAGATCTCACACCCACCCTGCCCTGTCCAGTCGCAGTGATCACACTGCTTATGTGTCTGTTCATCATTTGCAGAGTTATGTAACCAAATTATTCAGGTTCCTTCCTGGAGGCCCATTAATTTTTGTTCAGTGTATGATTTCTGGAACATAGATAGGCATCTACCAAGCAGTGTGTGAAATATGTGTCTACACGTAGACCCTTTCCTACTGAACACGCAAACTTAAGGGACCACTTCTCATGTTTTCCCCCTCAAAAGATCAGAGTTCAAGCAAATCTCAAAGTTTTAAAACTCAAACTTTAAAAAATCGTTGCATTTCACAAGATGGTGCCAAAGGCAAAGAAGGAAGCTCCTGCCCCTCCCAAAGCAAAGGCATTGAAGGCCAAGTTCTAAAAAGGCAACCACGGCCACACAAAAAAGAATATTTATATATCACCCACATTTTGGCGGCTGATGGCTCTGTGGCTCCTCTGTGGTCAGCCCACATATCCCAGAAAGGGCTTCCCCAGGAGAAACAAGCTTGACCACTGTGCATCATCAAGTTCTCCCTGACCACGGAGTCTACCATGAAGAAGAGAGAAGACAATACACTTGTATTCATTGTGGATGTCAAACCAACAAGCACTAGATCAAACAGGCTGTGAAGAAGCTCTATGACATTGATGTGGCCAAGGTCAACGCCAAGATCAGCCCTGATGGAGAGAAGAAGGCATATGTTCCACTGGCTGCCAATTATGATGTTTTGGATGTTGCCCATCAAATTGGGATCATCTAAACCAAGTCCAGTGCTGGGTGAGCTGTCTCACACCTGTGATCCTAGCACTCTGGAGGGCTGAAGCAGGTGGATTGCCTAAGCTCATGGGTTGGAGACCAGCCTAAGCCACAGCAAGACCCCATCTCTAAAAAACATATCCAGGCTTGAGGCAGGTCCCTGTAGTCCCAGCTACTTGGGAGACTGAGGCAAGAGGATATCTTAAGCCCAAGAAGTTTATTTTGCTATGAGCTGTGATGCCATGGCCCTCTACCAAGGACAACAAAGTGAGAATGTGTCTCAAATAAGAAAATGAAATAAAAAAATAAAAATATGAAGTCTAGCTGGCTAATTCTAAATACAGCGTGAATGTAAAATTTGTGTGCACTATAAATAGTATTTTAATTAAAATTGAAATTATGAAGTTTCAAGTTTATTAATATGTTTTTTTGGAGACAGAGCCTCCCTTTGTCACACTCAGTAGTGTGCTATGGTGTCACAGCTCACAGGAACATCAATCTCTTGGAATCAAGAGATTCTCTTGCCTCAGCCTCCCCAGTACCTGGGACTACAGGTGCCCACTACAACACCAAAGTATTTTGTTGTTTGTGTGTTTTGTTTAGCAGGCCCTGGCCTGCTTCCAACCCACTAGCCCTGGTGATGTGGCTGCCGCTCTAACCACTGATCTCCGGATGCCCAACCCGCCCTGAAATTTTAAGTTTAAATAGTAAACTATTGTAAATTACACACAAACTTTATGTCCACTCTGTATATAAATTTTCACCATAAACCACATATCAATAATTGTTAATGTGTTCTTTCCATGAGTGGAAAACATGTATTTACTTTGTGTTTATATAGAAACACATATATTTAACTGAAATTCATTTGTATTTAGCGCTGATATAATTTATATTCAGTGCTAAATACAGATATCCCTCGGCAGAGCTGCATGCCAGAGAAGGCAAAAAGCCCGGTGTAAAAAGAGCTACAGAGTGTGATAGGAAAAGTCCACATTGTAGCTCAGCCCTTCCCCCGAGTTATACCACATACTCCTTTGTATAGCCCATTAGTTGGGAGCTTAAACACCACCTGCTGCATGAAGCCTCCTGCAATGCCAACACCCTGGAGGTGACAGGTAATTTCACCCTTCTCTGAACTGCCATAGATAGCCAGCATTTGCTTTAACTCCCAGTGGCCTTCATCTGTCTATAAGGTTTCTGAGTTCTTTTTTTTTTTTTTTTTTTTTTTTTTGAGACAGAGCCTCAAGCT